CCACCAATGTTGCAGTTGATGTTTGGAGGGCAAATTTGAGAACAAAATAAACACTGGCCTGCCGGAAGTTACTAAAGGCTTGAGGATGTTTGTTTGGCCAGAGAGGTAACCAAACTGTAGAGTGGTACCAGGCATCGGCCCTGGTCTCCATCCTCCGTCATTATTTACTGGGTCAAGTTTTTATTCAGCTCAGTGGGTAAAAGGCAACTTGATACTTGGAACTCTCACATGAATTCCAAAAAAACTCCATTCGGAATATAAGCTCCTCTTTGCAAAATTATAGGGTGGTTGTTTTATTATATTTTTCTTTATTTTGTTTTATTTCTTTGACGAAACTTGTTACTTTTGTGGCATATCTCCTTAGTTGTTTTTCCACAAGTAAGGTCATTTGTGGAATGGCCTGACTTGATCGTCTCAAGCTATTCAGCAGCCCAGGAGATGGAATGAAAGGCTGGATGTATAGATAGTTCACTGCGTTTAAGGACCTCTTGCCAAATTGTTAAGTGGTAAAACATACCAAGTCAAAAAAACCCACAGGGAGATAAATATGACCAAAGTATATTAGATGTGGTTACTAAAGGAACACAATGATACCCATTATTTTATATCATTGATATAGGTTCATAATACCTTTCTGTTGTTAAAAAACACAAACTAGTAGATACAGAACGCAACTGACAACGTAAGAGTGTCGTCTTTCTAGGGCTGTGTGACGTTTTGAGCGAAGGGATGGAACAAACTTGGGCTTCGTGGATGTTTCTGAGTAAAATGCCAAGTCTTTAAACTCTGGAAGGAATCACCTAAGTCAGGAGATGGATGTTCCCTTTCTTTTTAAGTTCGCCTCGTGACTTGCATTGGGATTTTAAAAACATACTGTTTTCAGGGTCAACAGCAATGCCTCTGTTTTCCATGGAAAATGTATTGATTTGGATAACTCCATTTTTAGTCCTCCAGGGCGGTGTGCTATTAAATAAGAGAATGGAAAGTGACAGGAGGGGCCGCCCGTCTGTAGTGGGCTGGGGCTGGGGCTGGGGCTGGGGCGGCGGCTCGGCCTTTTGCTTTGTTTACATACAAGGCCTTTCATTTAGATTCCTGGTTTGGCAGAATATTAACTGGAAACAATTCCAAGCTTCTTTAGCTTAGATTTGTTGAGCCTGAGGTTGGTATTTCTTCACAAATACTGATGGCTTTTCCTTGGCTTAAAATAATAGAAGTTTTTTTCCTTAAAAGAAAAGAAAAAAGAAAAAGAGAATTGTGTAAAGAAAGAAATGTATTTTGTTTGGCCTCGCAAAAAACCACTTGGCTCCAAGCATCCCATATTTCTTGACTCTGCCTGTGCCCTGGAGCTGTGCAGGGGTAGATGTTTTTAAAATGAGATTGGAGTTTGTGGATTTGCATTCCTCTCAGTTTTTGTACTGTTGTCTTAGTTGGCCCTGCACCGAAAAGCCTGAGTGAATTTCCTTAATGAGACCTAACAGTAGGGAAGGGTGGTGTAGAAAATGCCCTGCGAGCAGCTAATTGGGAAAGGACTTACTTCTTCAGATGATTGCTTTTTAAATGAAATTTCAGACAATTACATGCTAGATAGACTCTCGTAAGTCATTGCAGGCTATTCAAAAGTTGTGACATGAAAGTGACCCAGAATTTAAAAAAAGGACCAGGTCAGCTTCATTGCTCATTTGAACTAGTTAGCATTCCCCGTGGAAAGTGCTCCACTTTTCTGATATAATTGATGTGTGTCACCGATGGAACCAGCCAGCCTACAAGGTGCACGATGATTTTTCCTGCCTCTTATGCTTTCTTAGTCGTGGTGGTGCTGGGGATGAAACCCAGGCCCATTTCACTTTAAAGCAGCCTACATTTTTCACAACTTGGCAGTGACCTGAGTCACCCCCCTTTACACATATAAAGCAAAGTGCTAAGGAAACCCATCCAGGGTTACACAGAGGACCCTAAGCAAAGCCAACACACATGCAGAGTAATTGCTCCTGGGTGCTGTTTCCTGTTCGTGCCCTAGATCTGTGGTACTGATGGAGATTTCCAAGACCTTTCCTCTCAAGTGCTTGAGCCTGGAAAAGCATGTGTACACAGTATACGCATGCCATTGGCTCTGAAGCAGAACCCCTTGTGATGGACGCATAGCACTCACTCCCGGCCCGCGGCCATGCCTCCAACATGGTAGTGGTGAGAGTTGGTCAGGTCCTGTGGACTCCTGCATCAGTAGCAGTCTCTTCAGCTTGCAGCAACAGAGGAGCCAAGTGCTGTGAGTGATCGGCCGGATTCTCAGCCCAGTTCAAGGTCTACTTAAGTGCTTTTCCAAAAGCAAGTTTGGTATGACATGTGAGGGAAGCAGGAAGGACCCAAAAAGGAGGATATTATGGTAGGCAGAAAGTAGCCTAGAAGAAGAGATATGAGAACGAGAGAGGGGGGATTGGGTAGGCTATGAGTTCAAGTCCCAGCTTTGTAAGTTCCCAAGTGCGTCACTGAAATCTACTGCTGTGACACAACTGTGTTCATAGTGACCAATAACCAGATGTCGTTATTTATCAACTAATGAAAAATCCCTTGCTGAGAGGGTGGCTCCAATTTGAAGTTTAGAGAGGGCACGCTTGCTTTGCGGTGGAGATTTTGAGGGGACCAGCTGGGGTTGGCTTGTGTGGACGGTGATAGAACACCTACACAGAGTTTACTTGAGAGTGTATTACCCCCATGTCCTCCCCCCCTTCCTGTTTCTTTCCGTCTTTGGCTTATCCATTCCCATTGTTTTAGTGGGTTGTCTGTTACATCCTTACTCTAGGGGACAGGATAGAGGATGAGCACAAGGACCCACCTATGTCCCTAACAAATAGGTTTCCTTCAAGCGGCATGTTCCACTTAGTCGTGAACCCTCAGATGCCAGGGGCCAGGGGGAATGGCTTTCACTGTTTCTCTAGGGGTCCATGCGGTTTGTTTCCCCACCCTTGTGCGTGGACTGACTTGCGAGAAACTATGGCATGTTTAGGGAAAACTATTTTTCATGATAATAGCAGTAACTCATATTTGAAATGCCATAGAAATTGTGTTTAAAAATGTTCATGAACCTTCTCATCAGCTTTTTTTAACTATACATGTAATGTCATAATTTAATTAAAAAAAAAAAATGGAGGTAGTTTGCCCCAAATGACATTAGTAGGAAGTGGCAGGGTGGAGCTGAGAATGGACATGTCCTTTCGGGGTCCCAAGTGCTCGATGATTACTTTGCCTCCTACTTTGAATGTTTTCGTCTGAGAGTTTATTCATGTCTATAACTTGAGTTTCAAAACTTTCTCTCCTATTTAGTTCTTCTTAAGTTTCCCAGACCTTATGTTTCATGTTCCCCTTTCATTTCTTTTTAATTTTTCTCTTTAACTGTTTTTGTGTTTTTCATAGATTTTTAACTCTTGGCTAGTTAAGTTGGAGCTGTCACTTTATACTTTGGTGGGGATTCGGTTTGGAGCACTTTGTTATTTATTCACAGGTCAGCCCTAAAAGCTATTGAGAATGACAGGGTGAGTAAGAAATAGTCCCTTCCCTGGAGGCATTTACATAATTCTTTAGAGAATGGGTTTTAAACAAGCCTGTTAACATCAAATTAGGTTCTGACATTATATGCAAATCGGCATTGACCTACATGCAGACACCCATTTGCGCTTGTAATTACGAGTGCATCATGGTGTCTCTGATCGCCACCCATCTCTTGAAAGCATTCCTAAGGTACTAGATAATTAGGCAATACTATTTTAGCACTTTTTATAATTTCCCTTAAGTAACCTGGTTTATATTGTTATGTTTGTAGTAAAATCTTGATGCTAATTTATACAAAAAAGAGACTTGATAATATCTGCTTTTTAAAGGCAGGAGTTAAACATGCTTATTTGTAGAAATGATTGCTGCTTCACGACATTTTGAATAATGTCAGGAATAATGAACAGGTATATTAGACACCAACATAAAATGAAGGCTGGCATGAAATGTGAGGCCAAAGCCTGTCAATACAAGGCTATGGGGCTCTGCCACCCATGTACTTTTCACAGCATTGAGAAAAAGGATGCTTTGTCTCTTAGGATGAGGAAGAACTACTCAGTGTGTGGATGTAGAAATCCCATAGTGTGAGAAGGGATTGGAAGCATTCTTGTTCTGTCCTTTTTTGGCTTTGTTTAGTTAAAGAAGGTGAAAAATCAAATACTTGGATTTTTTTTTTTCAGGAACTGTGAAAGCTATTCAAAGTTTTGGGATGACCAAAGACAGTGGGTAGCCATTAGAAACTTTGTTTTAGAGTGGTGGCGTCACCAAATCTGAGAAGGAAGGGTCTTCTAAAAGATTTGAGGAATAAATGTGTTTAGGAGACAGGAAACTAGTGGTATGGTACTTATGTAAAATGAGGCCCTCAAATAGTGGGGTCATGCTGGGGCTCGGAGGGAACAAAGAGGACTGGACACTGGGAAAACAGGAAGAGAATGATAGCTGACTGCGCTGGAAAAGGAAGAAGGAGGAAGTCATTGGTGGTGGCGTTTCGGATGGTTAGAATTTTATAACAACCAGGTATGGAGGGGGGGCCTGTGAGCACCGGTTAAAGGGGTGCCAATGCCCCTTTACTCATCGTTATGATCGTTGTTGCGTTCTGAAGCAGGACTCCCCATGTAAAGCAGGGTAGCCTCCTCTTGGGATGCCTTTGCTGGGTGTCAGGGTGCTGGGACTACAGGCATGTACCACCACACCCCGCTCCAAATGGCCACCCCGTGGCATCCTTGTAAGGTCACCTCTTTGGTGACTGTCTCAACGCTCTGTCCTGCCTTTCTCCACCCCGCCCTTTCTCAGCGGATATCAAGGAATTCTTCCAGGGATTGGAAACTATGAGAAAATGCAACTAAGATGATTACTCCAAAGTGGGTAGTCTCCTGACTGTGCGATGCTCTAGGTCTCCTGAGACATGTATGTCGTGTGTGCTGACTGCTCCCCTGACGCAGTGGATTGTATCCTAGGCATTTTTCGTCGACCACAACTCCCGAACCACCACGTTCATTGACCCTCGGCTCCCGCTCCAGAGCAGTCGACCCACGAGCGCGCTGGTTCATCGGCAACACCTGACGAGGCAGCGCAGCCACAGTGCCGGGGAGGTGAGTCACGGCTTTTCGGGACTGACCAGTTGATTGACAGGAGCTGCTGGGATACGGATGTAGTGCTTTGTGAAACCGTGTTGCCTTGTTGCTGTTGTTGTTTGTTTGTTTGTTTACTGTTTTTACTTTATTTTATTTTGGTTTAGTTTAATTTAGTTTAGTGTATCATTTAGAGGCTTAGAAAGTTTTGGAATGTTGCTGGGCGGTGGTGGCGCACGCCTTTAATCCCAGCACTCGGGAGGCAGAGGCAGGCGGATCTCTGTGAGTTCGAGGCCAGCCTGGGCTACCAAGTGAGTTCCAGGAAAGGCGCAAAGCTACACAGAGAAACCCTGTCTGGTAAAACAAAAAACAAAAAACAAAAAGAAAGAAAGAAAGAAAGAAAGAAAAGAAAAAAAAGAAAGTTTTGGAATGTTGGCAAGGTTTCTCTGAAAATACCTCTAGGCTAAATTGCAAATTTAATAGTTGGGGTATATGATGAAAGATTGAAGAATAGAGTTTCATATTTAACTCAGAGGGAATTGGTAATGCCAAGTGCTCACAGAAGACAATGCTCCCTTTGCACACCCAAGGACAGTCTCGGAAGAAAACAATGAATGAACTTTTAGTGGGCTCAAATTGTGTTAACTGCAGGGAAGAATTTCTTAAATGAGGTGTACTGGATGCCATTAAGATATCCATCCAAGGGCAAATCTGTAGGGCTGTGGAATCCTCGCTGGCATTGTCTAAAGTTAGAATGTATTTGACGGAAGTGATTTATATGCCGGCTGCCCAGGGAAAATGGTCTGACCTGAGACCGACCGGACTCCTCTGCATTCTACTTTGCCAGTGTGCAGTGGTCTACGGTGACCACACGGGGGCGCACCAGTACCCTCGCCCCAAACACAAAAGTCCCTTCTTGTCTCACTTTTCTTTCACCCACCTACATGCATGGAAGGACTGTTTGTGGTTGAAATTTCTTCTCCTTAATATAAGTTTATGCTTTGAGTGCACACTGTGGTTTGGCGTACATAATTTCTAAAAATTCCCCTAGACAAATGGAATTAAGATTCTTTTTCCTGCCTGCCACTTCTAAATGCATATCGTATTTCTAATACTATATTGTAGGTCAAATATTCTGAGGGCTTTATTATAAGAAAAAATTATGAATGCAATAAATAATTGGATTGAGTTCATCAGAATTCCACCCCTGGAATTCCCCCTCATGCTGTTCATTCTGCTTTAATGCATCATGTGCTCACTGTTTATAGAAGAGTATACATGAGAAGCTCATATAAAAATGATATATAAGTCTAATGCAGGGTGAGGTATGCATGAAAATATTTATGTTTTATGAGCAGCCAATAAATCTTTATCATGCTGTCCTGTAAACCATTAGTAGTGAACTGGAGGATACTTACAGCATTCGTCTTACCAAATACAACCGAACTCTCACCCTTGGACCTTGAGTGGATGTGTACCATGATTAGGGCTCTGCCTGGCTTTATCACTCGGACAGTGCACTTTAACCCTTTCCTGTACGGTGACCTCACAAGCTGAGGTTGGCTGTCCTGTCTAGCCGGGGTGATGTTTCTGGGAAAAGCAAGAGATTCCTAGCTGTACTTGCACTGTCTGTTGGTGCCTCTGCCCCAGAACTTTTAATTACTTTCATGGTCTAGGAGTGGAAGAGGGCCCCTCGAGAGTATGTCAGCAACCTAATGAACCTCTCTTCCTGTTGATGGGAACGGAACAGTGAACCAGAGAGTGGCCCAGCATGCCGCCACGTTATCGCCCAGCCTTTCTCAAAGAATATTCTTTGTGAGCCAGCACTTCGGAAGCATTACAGCTTGAGGCATTACCTGTATTTCTTGGAGGAATTGAGCACTGTCTTGTGGTCTGGTTTTAAGAAGTGAAGTCTTCAAGACCTTTGGCTGTTCTAGGAAGTGTTGACACACGGCCTCCTACTGACTGGAGGGAAATTACATAGACTGGTGTCTGAAACGCTAAGTCCTCTGCCTGAAGATGGGTAGATAATAACTGGATCTTCTCAGAGTGGCCAGCTGTGTTCCGTGAAGCCAATAACCCTGAAGAAGCAGGCTGAGAAACTTCTGGTAATGCAGTGGGTCTTCATGGACGCCGTCTCAGCTGCGTTCAGCAGTGTCTGCAATCAGTAGACATGCCAGTGTCTCTGCTGTGGAAACAAACACTGTCTGTGGTACAGACGCATTGTGGTTGAGAGTGTGAAGAGTATAAATAACTAACACTTACTTCCCACATTCTTAATGTGGAGAGAAAATTTAAAACTATCTTTTAAAGGAATGAGAAGAAGAGTGAAAACCCCTGGATAAACTTTTGAGGGGCCCACGAGGATGCTGGGGCAGAGGGTCTAAAACTCTTGCTGCCCAGGTTGGAGGCCTGACTTGGATCCCTGGAACCCATGAAAGAATGGAAGGAGGGAACTCACTCCCCAGACTTACCCTCCGACCTCCACGCCCACACCGCGGCACCCTCACCCCACCACCCACAATAATCTACAACATTACAGTTCTCCAGGACCTGAGAAAGAAAGCTACATCTTAGTCACTCTTAGAGATAATAATGTGGGCTTTCTTGTTTATTGTTTCCAGCTTTATTGGACCAGGGGAAACAAATCGTAAAACTATTAGTAATAACAACTAGTTTTGAAATAACAACTAGTTTTGAAATACGCGCCGAGCACCATGGGAGCTCAGAGGCGAAGGTTGTATTTAAGCTCCGCTTGAAGAGAAGCAAAGGCTGCGTGGAGGACGGGGCTGTTTGAACTGTACTTTGAAGAGTGAGGGAGAGCATTCCTGAAGGATAAGCGGGCAGGGGAAGGCAGAAAGGCTGTTTCTAATGTGAAGGGGCTGTAGGAAGGGCCTCAACAAATATCCAGCAGATGCAATGTGATAAAATGGCAATGACGATTTCGGCGGGAGGAGATGGGAGCTCCATTTGAAAGGCACCAATGTGTCAATCCAGTGTCACCTCCTGTCCTCTCCTCACGGCCATGATACTTGTCTCAAACAACTTCTAGAACGTGAGAGAAAATGCTAGGAAAGAGGCCAAAGCAATGTTAGCGTTTCCCGGTAAGAGCACAGATGAGTGGCTTGGGGTGTCTATTTGTAGGGGTTTCTAAACCCGGGAGAGGTACAATGAATAATTCAGGCGAGGGAAGCCATTTTTAGAGCTTGCACACCTGCTCCTGTTAGCTGTCTGGTGTGGGAGGCTCAAACCAGAAAGAGCTGTTACGCCAGGGCCTCTAATGGGCATATAAAATTGCCTCCGAGGAGATAATGTCCTAATGCACAGCCCCACAGGAAGATGGCTGCTGCCGCTCAGCTCCTCCTCTGCTGAGGCAGGGAATTCCCTCGTCTACCTGGCTAAGTAAAAGAAGGAATACCCTGGCACAGTCCCAAAACGAGTTGTATCACCCAGCTCTTCCCTTGGACTGCATTATGGCAGTTGGGGTTCTATCCGAGCACGTGATCCTGAGCAACAAGTCTACGATTTTGCTTCTGCAGACTTGGTAATTACAAGCAGATTGAACTACTGAGCCACACCTGCTCACTGACCCCCACTTCTGTCAAGGATAGACCTGTGTCCCTCACCAGCATCAAGCCTTAAGAGCAGACCTTTCAAAGATCTGGTGTCAGCCCCGTCGCTGGCACCCGTTCTGGTCACCGGGTTATTTTCCTTAAGTGTTTTGAACAACGCGGTTTTGAGATGCCAGCACGAAGCCCTGTGGCTCTTATGGTGTGGACATAAATGTTGCTTTGCATTCGCAGGTAGGAGAAGACTCTCGGCATGCGGGACCACCAGTTCTTCCCAGACCGTCCAGTACGTTCAATACAGTCAGCAGGCCGCAGTACCAGGACATGGTTCCAGTGGGTATGTTAGCTCTTACTACAAATCTTTCTCTGTGCCACCGTGGCATTGTGTAGAGTGCATGCTATGCTAATGTGTGCCTCCCGCCAGCCTTCCACTCTTTACCGGGTGTCAGAAAACTACTGCGTTATCCTTAAGAAACGTACCACAAAACCCCGGTCTCTTGAGTCTCTGAGAGCTTCTGCCTTATAAAATCCCGTAGTCCTACTTAGCGAGTATTGGGTTGCTGAAGGTAAGAAAAACTAATGAGATAATATGCAATCATTGTAAATTAAGCATTTGAACAAACATATAATTAGAATATATCGCATCCTGAGATAGAATTTAAGTGGTATGTGAGTCTCTGGTAGCCTCATACACTAGCCACATTCTTAAGGGCTTTTATCACAAGTAGAAAGCAGCGAAGCCTCCAGAAGAGTAAGCTGAGATAAGTAGATGTGGGCTTACAGGTCTGAAAACCATTTCGAGCTGTTGTTAAAATGATGAAGCTGAAGTGTGTTCACAGTCTCCAATCCAGAGCCCCTCAGGCATGCAGAATGGACAATCTGCTGCAAGGCAGACGGACTCTCTCCCCACCTTAAAGCAGAAGAGCTTTCTCTTTGTTTCTGCATCAAAAACAGATACTTCCCTGGCAGGGGAGATACTGTGATCGTGAAAATGGTTTTCCCAGGGCAAGACACATCCTCCAGATGAGCTGGCCCTGTGATTTCCCAAAATGTGGGGAACTTGACTACATCATTTGTGGTGTTGGTGGTGGTCGGGGTGCATTGGCACTCTACCCTAGAAACACACACACACACACACACACACACACACACACACACACACACACACACACGCAAATCCCTTCGTCACAAATACAGTGTAATACTCATGACCTAAAGAAGTTCACAACCACCAGATAAGATATGTAGGGTTGATGTCTGTCTACATTTACAATGTCATTCATTATTAATATGTAATGTGTTAATAAATACTACATACAGAACTTTCTCAAGAGCTATAAAATTATTGCATAAGAAGTATCTCATCTCTGATTTTGGGTGGAATATAAAAACAATTCCATTGCAAAAGTGTCTTCCGTTCACATGTCATGAAATGTCCCTTTAGGGATCCCTGGTATTAACATTAGAATTCTGTCTTAACAGATAGCATTTAAAAGCCTTTAAAACACTTAGCTAAAATATGTGTGAATAGACAGTGTGGTGTTTCCAATGCAGCTACCTATAGAATTACTGGGCTTTCTGTTGTTTTGTGAATTCAGGTGCTCCAACCTTGGTTCTCTGGGTCATATTTATTACCTACTTCTGATTACTAGTAATATAACTAAGCAGAATAATCTTAAGTATACGGATTCATTTTCCTGACAGAAGAGGTAATAATGGAACCCCTAATAAATGTTCGTGGGCAATTTTGACATGTCTACAGCCGTGTTAAGTAGGTGGTAGATTGTTTAAAGCTGTGTGTTTTACCTGGAGTTGGTGGATTGTGCTGCAGTTGTTTAGACAGTGTGTTTGGGGCGGAGCTGTCGCATTTGCCATTTATTTCCACGTGGAGTTAGAGAATGGCTGGTCATTAGCACCATGGCTGTAGCGGTCGCTGTTACTGGTGACTATTATTTGATGGGATCTCTAGTTCTACCTCTTTACCTCTCTGGCTAGCTCCTATTCAGCCAGAAGATGGTTTCCCACTTCTTATGGTTGTCATTTCTATGAGGTTGTCTGCTGTTGTTATTTTGGTGGTGGTGGTAGTTTTGGTTTGGCTTGAATTTTGAGACAGAGTCTTACAGTGTAGCCCAGGTTGGCCTCGAACTCAGTCTTCCTTCTTCAGTCTCCCAAGTGCTGGGATTATAGGCCCATACCATGATGCCTGGTTTTCAGGTTGATTTTTGGTAACTTTAAAATTATGAATATCTAGAATCTAGTTAGTAAACTAATCTTGTCTTTGAAAGTAAAAATGGTTCATCAGATGAAATGAAAAAAGAATAGCTCTTGATCTAAGTGGACCTGTGTCTCAGGGAGCTGCTCTTGGATCGACCCAAACTAGTTGATTCTGTGACTCACAGATCCATTCTTGGTCTTATCAGGGCTCTTGATCCAGTCAGAGCTGACAGATTCTGTGTTTCAGGAAGCCTCTCTTGGTCCAATGAGAGGTGGCAGATTCTACTTCTCAGAAAGCCACTCTTGGTCTAATGAGGGCTGGCAGATTCCCTGTCTGCTGAGGTTCCTCTTGGTCCAGTGACGGCGATTTGTTCAGTGAGAGCTCTCTCACTCTCTCTAGGTCCAAACAGAGCTGGGGGTTGGTTTCCAAGCCCCAGGAGGTGGCTGGGGTCCCGGGTGGATGGGTATGGGGGCAGGGCGTCTAGATTGCAGGGTCTGCTGTCAGGTCTTGGTGAAGGGGGAGCCTTCCTGCAGGAGCCCTGCCTGGCAACTGGTAAAAAAAGAACAGCAGGTAGCATGTAACAGTTGTAAACCCGAGAATCATGTAACACCTTAGACAGAATTGGAATGTAAGCATCTATGGCCCCAGGGGCAGAACAGCTCCAACCTGAGGACTTGGGTGAAATGAATGTTAGCCATAAAACATAGTTTTTAAAGTCTGAATTTATATCATCAAAGAAGTAGTAGTAGATTTTTTTTAAAAAGAATTATTGTTTTTGTTTTTTTTTCCAGCCTACAATGACAAAATTGTTGCATTTTTGCGTCAACCCAACATCTTTGAAATTCTCCAAGAGCGTCAGCCTGATCTTACTAGAAACCACTCACTCAGGTAACCAGGGTGTTGGGATTTGTTCCAAGGGACATTAGCACCAACATAATAAAATCTTAGTGGCCCCGCCAGTCATCTTGATTTCCTTCTGACGTTTACAAAGATAGATGGAGATGCTCTATCATCAATACCGGCTTGTTGTAGTCCCAGTGTCTCTGCTCAGGACAGGGCTTGAGTCAGACTGGCTAAATAAACTAGAATCTTCCTTACAGAGGAAATAGCAAAAGGAAACAAATGCACACGGCCGAGAATCCATTGCAGCTTGAAAAAAAAAACAAAACAAAAAAACAGACATTTTAAGTGCAGCTTAAATCAACAAGAGTGGGTTTCAGTTGAGTTGGGATTTATCAAGTCCCAGACTTGACGTTCCACTTTTCCTTAAGGAAAACATGGTGGAACCCAAGGAGAGAATCGGATTCCTCTGTGTGAATCCTCCTCCAATGTCATGCTTCGTGTCTCTGTCCCTTCCTAAATATGTGCTCCTCTTCCCTGCCACCCCAGCTGCTTTGTGGGTTGTCAAGCAGGGCCTTTCTTTTAAAACTCTCTGCTTTTGAAACCTTTCAGCTCCACGGTGGCTCTTAGATCCTGATACAGGATGGGGTTTCCCAGTTTCAGGGTGCTGTGCGTCACTGGCGGCAGCAAAAAGGAAATCTTACGTTAACTCGGTGCCCACTTGATTTACACAGTACCTTTAATGGTAGAAATGCATTTGCTGATGATGTCATCCTAGTGTATAGCAGTGGTTCTCAAAACTTACCCACCTTGTGTTCACCCAAATAATGTAGGAGCTTTAGAAAATGCAAAGTGCTGGGCCTCTCCCCCAACACCACACACACACACACACACACACACACACACACACACACACACACACACACTTCTCTCCCTTCCATACCGTCTCCAGAAACGCCATCCCAGAAGCATGGGTAAAGCCCAGGCACTGTTTTCTTTGCCTCTCCATGTAATTCTACAGCACAGCCAGGTGTAATAACCTGGCTAGACACTAATTTGATGATTAATCGTGTGATGTGTGAAATCGTTCTTTGTATTCTTGACTATGTGACTTTCTTGCTCTAATTTGAATTTTCAAGTTCTCATTTTTCAATTAGATTCGTAGATCCTTTCTGCTACAGATCACATCTAGCTTACCTGTCCCTTGAGGTCTGTTCCTTGCTGCTCAGATAGCTAAAGCACTTTCTATGCAGTGAATAAATTAATTGCCATTATTATTACACAGCCCTTACCTTCAGAAACTTTATGTTTCTGAAGACTAGAAACTAGGCAAAATTTTAAGTCTGGCATGCAAATGATGCCTGTGTTAGAATCCTGGTTCCACAAAGTGAGCTCACAATGGAGTCCCAATGCTGTCTTCACATAAACATGCTGTTCTTCATCACCAAAAAAAAATGATAAAAAATGAAACAAAAACAGATTTTGAATGTTTCTTCCTTAGGGCATCCCCTCAGCAATCCATGATCCCCTAGAGATTAATAAAATTGCAGAAGTGAGTTTAACCTTCAATTCTAATTAAGGATCGTAGAGATCCTGGACCTCCTCAAAGCAAAACAAATTCCTCCTCTCTTGTTAATCATGAGGTTAAAAAATTCCATTTCCTCTCATTTTTACTTCCTACACACACACTCACAGAGAGGGAAAGGGAGGGGGAGGGAGAGGGAGAGAGAGAGAGAGAGAGATGCATCCCATCCCCCACAAAACAGACTAAGAACGTGAATACTTAAGAAGTTTTGTACTTTTTTTCCTCTGCACTCTAGGTTATTATTTAAAGTAATTAGCATATCTTTAAATCTCCACCTTGGGGGAGCTGAATGATTTAATCTACCTGAACAGGGCATCTGACTTACCACAAGTCTGTAATGACTTAGAAGAATGGTAACAATCTTATTAGAGGGAGGGTGGGAGGCTGCAGTTGATAGCAGCCAGCTTTTTGATTTCTTTCTGCTTTTTACTCTAAAGAAGGCTGAAGATTTTAGCCTTTTCAGTGCCCTTCAGGGTCCCCAGTTAACCATAATTCTGCCTAGATCTCCCATGGTAATCTCTTATGGAGAAGTTATTTCATAATGTTTGAGATGTTTCCATCTGTTTATGAGTCGAGGCTGTGCAGATTGTGGCCACAGGAAGCATCAGCAAGCATGACAGCCCAGTGAAGAAGCAGGAACTTAAATCGATGAGATAATGCTGTTTCCCCCACCCAGTATGTATCACTCTGTGCCTTCATGTGCTTATCATAACACCCTAAAGGAGAAGTCCGCATATCTGAGAGAACATTCTGTCTCCTATAGTTAAAAACTGCATCGTAAGGAACATTCCCACCAATGTAGGGATGGAGTCTAAGTTGGGGTTTTTAATCTCAGATTTAAGTGATATTTTTGGTACTACATTGTGTTAGTCAGCTGTCATTACAAGATACCCGAGATAATTGATTTATAAAGAAAAAAAGCTTATTGTAGTTGTAGTGTTTCTAGTCCTTGATCTGGTGGACCTACTAGTCTTTGGTCCTACTAGAGGGTAGGTGTCACCAGATGGGAATGGCAGAAAGCTAAATGCTCACCTCACAGCTGGGAGCTGAAAGCAAGGTTTAGGAGCCAGGGTCTCTCAGTCCCCACTGGGAGCACAATCCTGATGACTTAAGAACTTGCCTCAAAACATCTTCTGGAAGTCCACAGCATTTCCCAATAGCACCGTCTTGAAAACAAAGACTTGAACTCCCAGACCTAACAGACATATGGAATGGAACCCATGGGTAATTTGTGCTCACAGGTGTCTGTAAACTCTGTTTCTGCCTGGCCAGGGACGACCCACACCAATACAGATTCCCATGCATTCCTCCTCATTGATAGATAGCACAGCCACTGGAGAGAAGCAGAAGTCTTCCTTGTCCCTTGAGTAAGGGACACCACTGGGAGACTGAAGTGGGTATCTCTTTCTTTGTGCTTTCCTTGTGTTGTTTGTGATTCCTCCTAAGTCAGAGCAGAGCAAGCAATCGATTCGGCTTTACTGAGACCCAGTCTCCCTTGAGATTCCATTTTTCTCCTTTCATGTAGAACGCCTGTGGTTGTCCATGTCCAGGATGACGTTGGTTCTCTCTAACCTCTCAGATGGTTAGAATGGTGCCAGTTTGTCACTCCAAATCCCTAGTCCTGGAAGGGGTTTATTTCTCCAGTTAAGAAATGAATGTCCTAGGGGGGTATGACTCAGTAGTTAAGACCGTGTACTGCTCTCTCAGAGCATCCAGGTTTGGTTTCCAGCACCCATGTTGGGTGGCTTACAACCACCTGTAACTCCAGCTCCAGGGCATCTGATGCCCTCTTCTGACTTCTCGGGAAATTGAGCTCACACATGTACATCCCAACCTCCACATACATATGCATAATTAAAAATAAGATAATTTTTTAAAAATATGAGCATCCAAATTTGCTACCACTTCTGTTTGAGGGGAAATGCCACTATTGGACTGTTAAATTATACTACATCTTTGCATTGGAAGATAATAATCATACCAAGATACCTAGTGTATGTGAAGATAAGAGCCAAAATGAAAAACTCAAAAGATTGTATCAAAATATAACTATCTTCATTCAAAACATCCTTTTATAATACTTTGAGTGAATATAACACATAAAAATTCCATACATTTTTTTTAGTTCTGGCATTTGTATACTACTCTGTTGTGAACAAGGATCATGAATTTCCCTCTGTGGTGGTTATTAGGCCCAGCCAGGAAGTCTGATCCCTACCAATACTGTTTTCCCAGGCAGCAAGCACCAGGCTGCAGACTGACTCTTCTTCGCACACAGGCTTTGTATGGAGAGTCCATTGCCATGAGAATGGTCTGTGAGATTTTCTTTCATTTTATGTAAATATATCCATTTTGTATTTTAAGTTACTAATAAAGAAATGACTTGGAAGTCCCAAGAAATTCTGAGCCACCAGAAGCAAACAGGCCTGTGCCTCAGCTCACTACCCAAGACTGAAACACAACTGTGGACCTTTTCTGTTCCTTTCTATCTTTTTTTTTTTGGAGAAACTTGCAGGTTTTTTTGTAGTTTAATTTGGCTGTGATTATATTTTAAAATTACATTTGCCTTGAAACTAAAGAAAATTATAGAATTTGTAGAGTTTAAAAATTAAAAGTTTCCAAAAGCTAGCTTAAGTAAAACCAATCCTGGTGTTCATAATTGCCAGTCCCAGCAGTCAGGAGGCAGAGGCAGGAGGACCTCTGAGTTCGAGGCCAGACTGGTCTACAGAGTGAGTTCCAGGACACCCAGAGCTGTTACACAGAGAAACTCTATTTGAAAGAGAAAAACAAACCAAAACAAACAAACAACAAAAACTGAGCTGGAAATATTAACCTCAGCTATCATCTGTACTCTCTGTCTAAGCAACTTGAATTGGCCCCTGCTGATCCTGAGGCCTGCTCCTGCCAGGGTCTGCCTCCCTCTGCCTCCCAATCTCCTGTGACTTGTTTGCTGATCACTTAGATGCAAAGATGTGAACATAGTGATGTTGTGATCCTTGCTGCTGGACTCAATTTAAATAATAAAAAAATCTAGATAGGGACTGTTATTTCCCCGCAGACCGTTTACATAGGGATAACTATTGAATTTTTAAAAGCATCTCACTAAAATTATTATAAACAATACATATTAATGGTCATTAGAAACTTTGGTAGAAGATTCTCATCTCTCACTAGGAGACCAGAAGTTATGTCTCTTGGGAAGTAATTAGGTACATGTCTTAAGAATTCACATTTGTGGTTAGACAGACCTACTTTTGAATTCTGACTCTACAGTTTACTTACCACTCAAGGGGACTTTGAATGAAGCTGTTGAGAGTCTTTCAAGGCATTACTCTGAGAGAAGGATACTGGTTTCTACCATTCACTTTTAAAGAGCGGATGAGTAAGGATCATGAAGCGCTGGGTAGTGTGTAAGCAAAGCAAATGCGCTGTACATGAAGCTAGATGTTAGCTGTCGGTCATT